GCAACATGGGGGGGCGCACGCCACTTAATGCCCGGGTGTTCTTCCAACCTAATCCTTCACAGGGCCGCTGGCGCAAGCACTTCCACGTTCTGCATTCCGGTTTCGTTCCCACCAATCGGATGGCTAACATGCAACGCGCAATGCAGACGAGACGTTTTTCCGTGACGTTGATAGGCGGATGTCACTTGATGCGACGGGCCCCGCCTGGTCTGATTCAGCATTTTTCGGCGACCATCCCTGTGCCATTCTTGTTTTCACGGGGATGAATCATTCGGCTCAAGTGCTGGGTTTCCGGGCGACCCCCTCCGTCTTTTAGCGTGGCGCCCTGTGGGTCCAGTGGGACGTGTGAGACTTGTGCCCCTGTGGGGCTTGCGCGACTCGTGGGGCCTGCGAGACATGCGGGACCTGGGCGATTTGCGGGATCGGTAGGTTTTGTGGGACCTGTGCGACCTGCGAGACTTGTGGAAGCTGCGGGGCCTGTAAGACCTGTGGGACCTGTGCAAAACGTCGGCCTTGTTAGGACCTGCGACAGACCTGCGGGACTTCTGGGGCCCGTGGGGCCTGTGCAACCTGTGGCACCTGTGAGACCTGTGGCACCTGTGGGGCCCGCGGGACCTGCGAGACCTGCGGTGCCTGCGGGACCTGTGGGCCTGTGGAACTTGTGCGACCAGTGAAGCCTGGACGACCTGTGGGGCTGACGAGACCAGCGGGACCTGTGTGGCGTTTTGTCCACTGTACGATTTGTTTTTGTCGTCCGCGGTTGCAGCGTGGAGAAGTAGGGCGGGGAGCATCCATCGTGAAGTGGGGAATTTTTCAAATTAGCAAATCTAGATTACATCCCCGTTACGAAAGTTAATTCATCTTGGCTAAAATTGGCATGTGTGGGCGCTGTGGTGAGAAGTGGTATGGGAGTGATTCTTCCTTGTGGTTTCACACGGGGAGAGATTCAGAGTTGCCTGGAAGTGACCGGGAGTGATTTCTCCCTGGTGAATTTACGGGGGAGAGATTTTATCCTGAATTGGTTATATACTATTAATGTTACCAGGGAGAACCCTGGAAATCTCTCCCGCCAAGCCAGGCCGAAGACTGCCGTGCTAGGAGTCTACGGGGGGAAGGGGGGGGGCACTCGGAGACGCCCTAGTCGTCAGTGCTCAAGATGAATAACTTTCGTAACGGGTAAATGTATGAAAACATATAACAATTCCACTTTGCGATGGATGTTCCCCGTCCTTTTTTCACACGCGCGAAACGCGCAAACAAAAAGTCGTAAATTGGGCACGCCGGGGCACGCCACTTTACGCGAAATGCGTCCCGCATGTGATTTTGCACACTAAACCGGCCACCGCCCGATCGTTAAGTGGGGTCATTGGCCAACGGGAAGTGCCCCTCGCATACGAATTTACACAGTGAACTGGACCCCGCCCGCGTCCAATCGTTGAGTCGTTTAGCCAAACATCGAAAATTTGCAACCGTAAGCTGATTTTCGCACCGAGCCTGCCCCCGCTCCCGGCCACTGCTTAGCTCTCGCTCCTCCGCCGAAGCGTCGTCAGTACCCTCGCTCGCCTCTCCTCTTCCTTATAATCCTCCTGCTCCTCCCCTCTCCTCGTTTTCCTCTTCCGTCGCATATTCGCGTTGTTTTCCCTCGCGTTCCCCCCCTTGCCTCGGAAGGGGGGCCGCGACGGACCGCGGCAGCCGTCAGGGTGCCATTTCATGTATCAGGGACCGCGCGCTTCCCATTCCATCTGCCCGAGTGGCAGAGGTTGCCGACGCTATATGGCAATTGGCGCGAGAACAATTGGAGCACGCCCAAAAAGAATCATTAATTGACATTCGCCTTTCAACGTTGGCCGCGTGCGCAGGCGCGCACCATAGGCCAGGCCATTGATGCGCCGCACTTCGGCCTGCGCGCCCAGTGGCAACATTGGAAGGCGGACGCCACTTAATGCCCGGGTGCTCTTCCAAGCTAATCCTTCACAGGGCCGCTGGCGTGGGCGGTTCCACATTCTGACTTGCGGATCCTTTCCCACCAGTCGGATGGCTAACATGCAACGCGCAATGCAGACGAGACGTTTTTCCGTGACGTTGACAGGCGGATGTCACTTGATGCGACGGGCCCCGCCTGGTCTGATTCAGCATTTTTCGGCTTCCATCCCTGTGCCACTTTTATAGAACATTTTTTCACGGGGTTGGGTAATTGTGCCTAAATGTTGAGTTTCCGCGCGACTCCCTCTCGTCTTTTGGCGTGGCGCCCTGTGGGCCCCGTGGGACGTGTGAGACTTGTGTCCCTGTGGGACTTGCGCGACTTGTGGGGCCTGCGAGACCTACGGGACCTGGGCGATTTGCGGGATCGGTGGGTTTTGCGGGACCCGTGCGACCTGTGCGACCTGCGAGACTTGTGGGAGCTGCGGGGCCTGCAAGACCTGTGGGGCCTGTGCAAAACGTCGGCCTTGTTAGGACCTGCGACAGACCTGCAGGACTTGCGGGACCTGTAGGGTTTCTGGGACCCGTGGGGCCTGTGCGACCTGTGGCACCTGTGGGACCTGCGAGACCTGTGGGACTTGCGAGACCTGTGGGGCCTGTGAAATTTGTGCGACCTGTGAGGCCTGGGGGACCTGTGGGGCTGACGAGACTAATGGGGCCTGTGAAGCATTGTCCAACGAACCGCGTTGACGATTCGGCTGGAGGCGGGTCGAATTATCTAAATTCACACAGAGGGAGGGCAGTTTAGATCGCCCCAGCAATCCCACTTAACGATCGGGCGTGTGCGGCTTTAACCGAACGTTCCCGATAATAAGCCCGCGGGGATATTAAAGTTCGGGGGCCTGGCAGAAATAATCAACGATTTTCCCGGCGAAGGTGGTTATGATGATTATGATGATGATGATTATGATGACGATGATGATGATGATAATGATGATGATGATGATGATGATGATGATGATGATGATGATGATGATGATGATCTCGGGCGCTCGCGTGGACTGACCTTGTAGATCTTGGCACAAGACTAAACTGAAATGTTGAGAATCCCAAGGAGCCCTGCCACACGCTCGTGACTAGGGAAGCTGATATGGTAAGACCACCATTGCCATGCTCAACGTTTTTGATGCTGTTGCGAATCAACACAAAATGATCGCAAGTTCGATTCGCGACTTCCTCGGGTGATTCTCAAGTTCGGCCTCCGCGCACCTCTCCACAATCAAGATTCTATTGACACGGGGTATGAAAGATACAGGGGGAATGGGGGACATGTTTTTTTCTCTAAGCGGGGGCACTCGGCTATTGTGTGTGAGTTCGTATACAGAACGCACTTCGCGTAATGTGGAGTGCCCCGGCGTGCCCACCTTACGATTCGGTTGTTTCCGCGTTCGGCGCGTGAAAAACAAAGCGGGGGGCAACCATCGTAAAGTTGATAATGTATTACATAATGTTTGAAACTATGTTCGTTCTTCGTTTTGATAAAATTCAAACAATTCCACTTCACGATGGATGATCCCCGTTCTTTTTCCACACGAAACATAAACATTAGCCTGACGAAGGACCCAACCATATGTAGCTGCGAATGCCACGTTGTGGGCACCGCTTTCGGCGGAGCTCCCTATGGGGAACCGAAGCGCGCGAGGGGTGCGCCGACATCGGCGGCGCGAACGCATGCGGACCCTGCCACTAGAGCCTTCGGTGGACCAGCCTATGGGGCCACGAAGCGCTGTCCTGGGTGGCGGTGGCGCATGTGGACACTGCCACTGGAGCCTTCGGTGGAGCTCCCTCGGGGGCCACGAAACCCTGTCTGTGGTGGCGGCGACGCGTGCGGACACTGCCACTGGAGCCATATGTGGAGCTGCCTATGGGGCCACGAGGCGCTGTGCTGGGTGGCGGTGACGCACGCGGACATTGCCAGTGAAGCCTTCGGTGGAGCTCCCTATGGGGCCATTAAGCGCTGTCCTGGGTGGCGGTGACGCACGCGGGCCCTGCCACTGGAGCCTTCGGTGGAGCTCCCTCGGGGGCCACGAAACGTTGTCCTGGGTGGCGGTGACGCATGCGGACCCTGCCACTGGAACCTGCGGTGGAGCTCCTTCGGGGGGCACGAAACGTTGTCTTCGGTGGCGGTGACGCACGCGGACCCTGCCACTGGAGCCTTCGGTGGAGCTCCTTCGGGGGCCACGAAACGTTGTCCTGGGTGGCGGTGACGCATGCAGACAATGCCACTGGAGCCTTCGGTGTAGCTCCCTATGGGGCCATTAAGCGCTGTCTTCGGTGGCGGCGACGCATGCGGATCCTGCCGCTGGAGCCTTCGGTGGAGCTCCCCAAGGGCCAACGAAACGCTGTTTTGGGTGGCGGTGACGCATGCGGACGCAGCCACTGGAGCCTTGGGCGGACCTCCCTAAAGGGCCACGAACCGTGTGAGGGGTGTGCCGTAATGGCTGGCGGTGACGCGTGCGGACGCAGCCACTGGGGCCTTCGGTGAAGCTCCTTATGGGGCCACGAGCCGTGTGAGGGATGTGCCGTAATGGGTGGCGGTGACGCATGCGGACGCAGCCCCTGAGGCCTTCGGGGGAGCTCCCTATGAGGCCACGAACCGTGTGAGGGGTGTGCCGCAATGGGTGGCGGTGACGCATGAGGACGCAACCACTGGGGCGTTCGGTGGAGCTCCCTATGGGGCCACGAACCGTGTGAAGGGTGTGCCGAGTTGGGTGGCGGTGACGCATGAGGACGCACCCATTGGGGCCTTCAGTGGGGCTCCCTGTGGGGCCACGAACCGTGTGAGGGGTGTGCCGTAATGGGTGGCGGTGACGCATGAGGACGCAGCCACAGGGGCGTTCGGTGGGGCCCCCTATGGCGAACATGTGCGACCGTGAGCAGATGTTCGCAGCGAGCCCGCTCCCGCCCCCGGCCACTGCTTAGCTCTCGTTCCCCCACCGAAACATCATCAGCATCCTCGCTCGCCGCTTCATTCTAATCCTCCTGCTCCCCCCTTCTCTTCGTTTTCCTCCTCTTCGCACATTCGCGTTCTTTTCCCTCGCGCTCCCCCCCTAGCCTCGCAGGGGGGCCGCGACAGACCGCGGCGGCCGTCCGGGCGCCATTTTATGTATCAGGGACCGCGCGCTTCCCATTCCATCTGCCCGAGCGGCAGAGGTTGCCGACGCCATGCGGCAATTGGCGCCAGAACGACTGCATCCCGCTCAACCAGGGTCGACATCCACGCGGCTGGGAAAAAAGTTATAGCACATTCCACGAGACTTTCATCGCGAGGGATCTGCAGACGGCAGCGCCCAAAGAGAGGACCATTCGGTGATTTTCGCCTCTCGATGTCGGCAGCGCGCGCTGGCGCGCACCATGGGCCAGGCCATCGACGCGCCGCGCTGTGGCCTGCGCGCCCAGTGGCAGCATTGGGAGGCGGACGCCGCTCACTGCCCGGGTGATCTTCCAACTTAATCCTTCGAGGGCCGCTGGAGTGGGCGGTTCCACGTTCTGCCGTGCGGTTTCGTTCCCACCAGTCGGATGGCCAACGTGCAACGCGCCATGCAGACGAGACGTTTTTCCGTGACGTTGACAGGTGGATGTCACTTGATGCGACGGGCCCCGCCTGGGCTGATTCATCATTCTTTCGGCTTCCACCCCTGTGCCACTTTTGTTGTGAGCTTTTTCTCACGGGGACGTGCGAAACCTCAGGTGCTTGAAAGATGTCGGCACGCGCGCGACGGCGCGCGCGTGCGCTTCGCCCATTTGTTTGCAAAGGATCCTTGGGAACTCACGACTTTTGGCAAACAAGTGCGCGCGCATCATTCTGTGCAAAGAATGGCGGGGTGCGTCGATGCAGGTTGGGCTGGGATTGCAAGAGCTCATACTCGAGCGAGCGATGGGGCAGAATCGCATGCAAAGCGCAATACAGAAAGGCGGGCGGATAACTCCGGGGGGGGGAGGGTGGTAGATCCAACTTCCTAGCTAGAAAGGAGAAGCGCGCTTCAACCAATTTGAATATTCAGTTTCAGTGCTCTAGAAACGTCCCACACACCCTTCCACAATTTGTTGGCAACGCCAATTTGGCCACATGATGTGAGAAACCTTACGGGGTGGTGACGATGGCGACGAAGACATCAGCGACGGCGTCGACGACTATGATCGTTGCACTGACGCCGACAGATGCGGCAAAGCCAATGGCAATGATGATGGCGACGGTTGCGACGATGACGACAATTGCAATAACGTTGGCGATGCAGATGGCGATGGCGCTGACGAGGACGGTTTGGAAGCGCCCGTGTGTTTGTGAACGTCGATGTTGCAACGACTCGGAAAACCGGTACCACGACACACCCCGCCCTCCATCGCCCGGCATCGCCCGACCCTTTCCCGCGAGCGGTCCGCCCACTAGTCCACGCCAGCTAGGGGAACCCCACCGTGCCCTGTTTGCGCGCGCCACTGAAACACTCACCCCCAAGTCCACGCCCGCTCCTCCCACCACTTCCCTTTTCCAGAACCTCCCCGTTTAGAACTTGTTTTTTTGCGTCGGCAGCTAGGCAGAGAAACTGCGCTGGCGGAAGAGCTAATTAAACGGGGGCACCAATGTAGCGAAATGTGCCACAACGCAAGGGAGAGAGGGAAAGCGGGGAGGGCGGGGCACCCAGCGTAAACATGCGGAAACCCAGACAGCGCGCGAGGCGCCCACGAGGCGCCCACGGGGCCGAAAACCCAGCCAGCATAGATGCCCACGGGTGCCCACGACGAGAGAGCCCGCAAAATCAACCAACTAGACCTCAGGCCGCAAACTCTTAGTGCAAGCGCTGTATATGACATCTCAAAGAGCCCAATGTGAGCGACGATCAAAAACTTGTCTTTAGCGGGATGACGTAGCGACCTTGCGCCGCGGCTTACGCGGGCCGCCAACGAGGCACGCCACATTGGAAACGACGAGGGCGCTTACGCGCGACCTTACGCGGGCAGCTTACGCGCCAGAGTCGGCACAGACGGTTCCGTTTTCTTGCCTCGCTCATGTGACCTCGAAATCTGGGCGCCTCCAAGACGATTGAGAATATGAATGATGCGTGCTGTTCGCGGGGTAAAGAGCTACTCCCGAATACACCCAAGCTCAGGGGCTACACCCCGCTAGGCCGTCACGGGCTGCGTCAAGCCCCCGGATGCCCCCGCGAGCGCATGCGACGGGTTGGTCCGCCAGCCGTCCTAGGCGCCGCCGCCGGCGAGATCCTCGTATATCTTCTGGAAGACGCTGCCGGCCTTCTCCGAGCCAGAGATGTCGGAACCGCTCTCCCGCCCCTCCCCGCTCTCGCCCCGCGACGACCGCTGCCGCCGACCACCGCTTCCCCGCCGGGGGGTCGGCCGCGGCTGCTGGCGGTCCGACATGTCCTCGAGGGCGCTGCCAGGAGTGTCCCTGGCCCGAGGCATCCCCAGGAGGTCCGACGAGGCCCCCCCACGGCCTCTGGAGCGCCCCCTCGCGAGGCCCAGAGGGCCACATGGGGCTCCCAAGTGGAGCGGAAAGCCAGGGACCCCGTGGGCGAGGGACACGTTTAGCAACCCCTCCCCGTCCTCGATGTATCTCGTGCCCCCGCCAGAGAAGCAAGAGTTGGTCTCCCTGAACTGCACGCTCTTCTCCTCCTGCGACTCCCGCGACTCCCGCCTCGTGCGCACGGGCAGCAGGCCCGCGCCCAGCAGGGGCTCCTGGTCCACCACGAGCCCCGCGCCCAGCAAAGCCGCGGGGGTGGCTGCGGCCTCGAAGACGGGAGGGCCCCTGCCGGTGTCCTGAGGGGCAATGAAAAGAGGGGACTGGCATAGGCGGGGGGACGTGGACCTGGAATCTGCGATACCTTGCCGATAGATCGGCAACCGGCCCTCACATAGCACAGCCGCACGCTACTGGGCGGGGGTGGGCTATTGGGCGATCCATGGGCGATGGCAGGTTCGAGGCGTTCCCCCCCCTGCATATGCCTATACTCCCCCCCTGTCGTTGCCCCTGGCGGTGTCCCTGCGGCCCACGGGGGCCGGGGCGGCCTCCTGGGCGGAGCGCTGCGGCGGACCGCCGTTGAGAATGGTGCGGAGCCGCCTTCCGGGCACGCTGGGGCCCTCCTGCGGCGCCCTGCCTGCCTCCGGCGCCGGGGCTCTTCCCGACCGCTTGCCGTCGCCCGAGGAGCTGGCCGGGCCCATGGGCCCCAGAGTGTCGTCGCCCGCCTCGTCCTCGTCCTTCGAGCAGGGGCTCGACCCCAGACCCCCTCGAGCCATGAAAAGATTATGTAATTTTCGGGCTCTGGAGGCCCTTACCGAGCCCCGGGGCCGTCAAAAGACGACTCAGGATGAAAACCAGTCCTGGGGAATAGGTCGAAATCTCTGGGGGTCGACGTCATGAAAAAATCATGACGTCGGGGGTCTGGGACTGCAGAATTGAGCTGCACCCCACATGTTTGGGGTCCAGCGAATCCTTGAGATCGAAAGCGTGGAATGCCCCGCAGGTCTACGGAGCATTCTGCGCATTTCTCGTGGGCTCGGCGGAAAATCAGGTCTGAGGTGAGTCGCTTCTGTGGTCGATCCCCTGCGCGACTCCTCGTCCTTCGCCTCCCGAGGAGGGCCCCTGCCGGTGGCCCTGCGGCCCATGGGCGGCGGGGTGACGGACCGCCCCGGCCGCCCGCTGGGCATCTTCGTGAACTGCGGCGCGCGCTGGACGGGGCCCACCTCCTCTCGGGGATCTGCTGCTGGGGGCCCCCCCAAGCCCAGGCGGTGAGCTGTCGGGTGGTGACTTGGAATCCCCCAAAAGCCACCGCCAGGTTTCCTCACACGGGGTCGCTGCCGTGGTTGGTGACTCCTGGACCCGCCAGCGTGCGGGGCATCCCCGAGAAACCACACGAGTCCCCAAACCGGGTGGTGACACCAAATCGCCCGAGACGCACCGCCGGGTGTTGTCACCACCAAGTTTGGGGACTACCAATAACGGAGCCAGGTCCATCCAAACCTGGGTCAGTCAGGCCTTGCAGGAGCTTGCCAGACCCTGCAGGATCCTGCACGCAAGCCCGGGTCAGTGCACCCCTGACTCTGCAAGATCCTGAGAGATCCGGTGCTCTGACTGGCCCCCGTTTGCATGGACCCCCGTCTCTTGAGCCCCGCTCCTCGTGCTCCGCCTCCCTGCTGGTGGCCCTGCGGCCCATGGGTGTCGGGGTGATGGAGCGCGCGCTGAGCATCTTGCGGATCTGTCCGCCCGCCACGCTGGGGCCCTCCAACTGCGCCCTGCTCAGCTCCTGCGACCGGGCCCTCCTCCAGTGCTCGCTGTCGCCAGAGAGAGGCGTGCTGTCGCGGCAAGCCCTGGGGGGCATGGATCTAGCCGCACGGCGATCATATCTCTCATAGTCGTCCCCGGCTGCTTCTCTTGTCACAAACACCTCGCTGAGGCTCGCCGAGACGTCGCTGAAGGCGTCGCAGATAACGCTCCAGCCATCGGCGGCTGGGCCTGCGGGCTCAGGGCCTCCAGGCTCGCCCTTCTGGTGCGCGCGCAGGGAGTCGTCCTCAACATGAGCGCGGTCCGTGGGCGATGTGGCGTCTGCAGTCTCCTCCCAGGTGAACGTTCAACGGGGGAAACAAGCCAGGGTCGGGGGGAGGGGTTAGAAGTGTTCCTGGCCAGAGGCCCCCCTCAACTTTCCGTGCCGTGATGGGAGCCCCTGGGCCCTCAGGGCCTCGTGAGGGGTGAGCTGGAGGCGATCGGTGCCTTCCTGGAAAGCATGGGAGACACCTTGGGCCAGCGACACCCCACAACTGGCAACATCCGAGGCAGGGAGAGCACAGAGCACAGGAGTGTTGCTAGAGTGGCCCCGAGCTGCCACCCGTTCAACCGAAGGTGATGGGAAAGTGTATACGTCGACTTTGGCCCCTGTCTAATGCATCACCCGACTTCGTGCTTCTCGGTGCGCGACGGCTGTTATTCTTCGTGCTGTCGCGCGTCCACCCTGCAGAATGGCACATCTCCGGCCCAGGACGCGGAACGCGCAACGATCTTGGCGCCCCTGTGGGTGACCTGGGTGGACTCCATGGCAGCCGCACACAGACACACCCCTAGTCTGCAAACCAGTACACCGAGGCCGATGGAGGGAGCTTGCGCGGAGACAAATTCTCGGTGTCGGCGTCGTGCGAAGCGGCTAAGACGAGGAATACCAAGCTTTCCTGGCCCTCCGGGGCCCGAAATCTTGCGGAAATCTGTGCGTTCCCCAAGACGCCAATCCTGGCATCCTGAAGATGATGCTAGGCCGACGTATCCATCTTCGCCCGTATGATTCCACGATGCTCCCATTTCTATTGCCACCCATTGCAGTCAACTCGATCCTCCCACAAGCCAAGCGCGCTCAGCATCGGCGCGGCCGGCAGGCGCGGCGTGTGGTGCGTGGGCACTAGTGCTCCGTAGGGACCAGGGGGCACCACGGCCAACGCAATGCCAGCCAGCCCGACTGCCCAGGCGCATCGGTCGCTTGAGCCAGACCCTCTCCATGGAGGCAGAACTTAGAAGCCCAGCTTCAACAACAGCCCAGCTCTAACTGCAAGAGCTATGACATACGTGTGGTGTGCTGTCAATACTTCGCGACTGCGATGAATGGGAGCGGGCCTGTCAGAGGTCGCATGGAACGCACTGATTGCGCCATGATCATTGACTATCGGGTATTTGAGCTGGGCAGCTCGCTGAACTGCGATGCTCAATGTCGACCTGTGTGCTCCCATCCTGCGACGAGCTGACACTCAGACACGAGGCAGCAAGATTGGACAACCTGGCGAATATCAGAAATCAGACGGCTGTACTTACAACACTCGAGCATGGGGTAGCACCCGATGGGTGAGCCAACGGCTCATCGACAGATGCTAGCTCCCTCGGCCAAGGAAGCCCGTCCGATCATCCTGCGGACTGCAAAGGGGCCCATTCAATTGCACCGTCGTGAACTACCTGCCACACGCAATCAACATCCCAAAGCCCTCCTCAAGGAAGAGGAAAGAAGGAAGAAGGCGGATGGGGAGAGACACGTAACAGGAAATGAACGGAAACTGCTGGAACATCTCTGAACCGCCATGAAGCGCCCGTTTTCAAAAAAAAGAGCCAAGTGGAGGCTGCATTCATGATAGTAACCCCGGAACTGTTAATACTACTACATGAAAAGCGGGACATCCCCCCCTCTGCCCAGGAACATGCGACCCAGCCCGCCAAGCCCACGCAGCTTCTTGGCATAATGAGGGGAACTCGCAGACATCAGTCTGCTATCGTTGACACAGACGCACGCGTCCTCAACGTCTTACTCTCACCCATCGCCATCGCCGCCATCATCACTGCATTCATTGCCGCCGTCATCCCCACCGTCACCATCATCCCTGCCATCATGATTGGCATTGCTCCGGTTACTACGTCCATCCACACAAAGCTAAAAGAAACAGCAAGTATCGAAAGCACCGCTCTCCCCTGCCTGATTAGGCGCCAAGGAACGCCCAAGAAGGCCAAAGACAGTCACGGGACAGCTCCCAAGGGCAAATTGAGGAGCAGATTCAAAACATGTGTCGAAACTTCGTCTCACACAGACTATCAGCCACCAGTGCTTTGCTTTTACAAAGAGGCAAAGGGCGGCGGTGACGAGACAAAAATAGGAGTCTTCGATAAACGGAGAAATAAAAGGGAAGGCAGAACAACGCGCATGTCGCAAGACAGAACATAAGTTACATATGTATGTCTATATGTGTATACAAGTGTGTATCGATGTGTATGTGCTTCACCAGCGAAGCACGAGCTTGCCCTTAGGGACTCTTGCTTAGAGTCTAAGGGACCTTGGCCTGTGGTCCGGCGGCTATGTCGTCGCCGTCGTCGAACGTCGCCGCTTCGTCGCCGCCCGTCGTGTGGGAGTGGCTGCCGGCCTGGCGGCTCCGTGGTCGCCGTCGCCGCCCCGTCCTCGCCTTGTCGCCGCCAGTCGTCTGGGTTTGGCTGGCGGTCTGGCGGCTATGTTGTCGCCGCCGCCGCCCCCGCCGCCCGTTGCACAACATAGTAACTTGTTTTTTTATTACAAAAAAAACAAAAAAAACAAAAAAAACCTCCCCACCCTGGGGCTAAAGACCCCCCAGGAACCGATGTAAAACACATCCGGCGCTTTTGTGCTCAAAGTCTGCCCAGACGTCCGAGTGCGTCGGTATCGGCCCCCCCCGCTATCCTCTGCAGAAAAAATACGATGCGCGCAATCCTTTATCACAAATCATAAGTTGTCAAGAATCCCTCGCAAAAAACGGAACGAAGTGCACACGCGCGCGTCGTCGCGCGCGCATGCCAAAATCCTTCAAAAACCTTCGGTTTCGGAAGGATTTCAAAATCGTGTTTCCAAACAAACATACAAAAACACATGGTTGCGCAACACTGATTCTCTAAAAAAAGCTTACGCGCGCGCTACTGCAAAATTTTCGGAAAACCATGAGTTTTTCAAGATTTTCGAAATAAAAAACATAATACCAAACGGGCTTCGCGCGCGCATGTCGAAATCTTTCGAACGGCCTTGCGCGCGTGCCGTCGCGAGAATCCTCTGCAAAAAACAGGACGGTGTGCACGCGCGCGCGCGTCGTCGCGCGCGCATGCCGAAATCCTTCAAAAACCTTAGTTGTCAGAAGGGTTTCAAAATCGAGTGTCCGAAACACATACAAAAACACAGGGTTTCGCAACGCGGATTTTCAACAAAAGCGTGCGCGCGCGCTCTTGCGTCGTCGTCGCCATCGTTGTCGTCGCCGTCCTCCCTTTTCCCTCGTCGTCGTCGTCGCCGTCGTCGTCGTCGCCCTCTGTCTTTCCTCGCCGTCGTCGTCGTCGTCATGTTTGGCGTCGTCGTCGTTTCCGTCGTCGTTGTCGCCGTGGTCGTCGTTCCTCCTCCCTCGTCGTCGTCGTCGTCGTCGTCCGTCGTCGGCATCTCGTCGTCGTCCCTCCTATTTCGTCGCCGTCGTCGTCGTCGTCGTCGTCGTCTTCCCTCCTCCCTCGTCGTTGTCGTCGTCGGCGTCGCCGTCCTCCCTCCTTCGTCGTTCGTGTCGTCGCCGTCCTCCCTCCTCCCTCGTCGTTGTCGTCGTTGTCGCCGTCGTCGTCATCCCTTCTCCCTCGACGTCGGTGTCGTCTTCGTTGACGCCGTCGTCGTCGTTTTCGTCGTCGTTTTCGTCGTCGTTGTCGTCGTCGGCATCGTCGTCGTCGGCGTCGTCGTCGTCGTTGTCGTCGGCGTAGTCGTCGGCGTCGTCGTCGTCGTCGGCGTTGTCATCGTCGTCGTCGTCGTCGTCGTCGTCGGCGGTGTCGTCGTCAGTGTCGTCGTCGTCGTTGTCGAAGTCGTTGGAGACGTCGTCGGTGCCGTCGTAGTCGTTGTCGGCGGCGTCGTCGTCGTTGTCGCTGTCGTCGTCGGCGTCGGTGTCGTTGCCAAGCGCCATTTGGTACCTACCGTCACGGTCTTAAGAGGTCTTGCGACCAAGTTGCGGGTGGGAGGGTGGGATGTTTGCACGAGCAGTGGAGAGGACAGCTTCAAGATAGTCGAAGTGAAATACGCCACATAAATTGCACCACAAAGGTTAGCTTGAACCACATAGATTGATTGCGCAGCGCCGATTCTCCATTCTGACATCTATTTTGATATAATACCTACCACCCCACCAGCTCTGGGGTCAACCGTCCACCATGGGGATGTGCATTGTAATGCGATTCTGCCCGATCGTTCAAAGCAAAATGGCTTCATACCACTCCAACCAGACAACAATTGACACCTCCGCACGCCCTCGTCTAATAGAATATGCGCGCAAACTCGTTGAAAGAAATGTATTTGTCAGCACGCCCTTGCAACATAGTGGACGACATGCACACGCGTGCGTCGTCGCGCACGCATGCCAGAATCCGGCAAAAACCATTAGCTTCGCAAATATGTCAAAACCGACGTTCCGCAGAACATTTTTTTGACTCAGGAAAAACATTGTTCCACAATGTGGTTTTCGAAAGAGGTACGCGCACTGTTGAAAAATATTACGACAGCCAGTGGTGTTGAAAGAATGTGCATTACATGCGAACAAGCAGGCATCTCGTACGTGCATGTCGACATCACTCGAGCGCCCTTGCGCACGTACTGGAAGGGGGGAGCACCACCCCGTCAAACAAGATAATACCATGTGGGCGAATCGCGCTTTATCGCCGACGCGAGGGCACCAGCATCGACATCGGCGTGCTCAACATCGGCGCCATTATTGGCCCTGCCGTCGTCATCGTCATCCTCATCCTTAGCATTGCTATTATCATCACCGCGTCTGCCGTCGTCGACGTCATCATGATACCACGCCCGTCCGATTCACCGACTCGCACTGAGGGGCCCGCGAGTCATCGCGGCCTGCGAGACGCGCTGGAGAGTGCCCGGCGGCCAGCGCCACCGCGGCCGCGTCGGCCGCGCCAAAGGGGGTGGCCGCTGCGCGCGCGAGCGCGCATGACCGCATACATGCACAAGCCATCGCAAAACACTCATCGCAAACGCTACTGCATGGGTTTTGCAAATCAAGTTGAGGGAAACAGGCGGATGGGATGATTGCGCGAACGCTGGAGTTGACAAGTCCGAATCCGCTAAAACAAATTGTGACCCTTTTTCCAAAAAATCTGATCTACCTCCCCCCCCGACTCAACGGCCCACCATTCGTATTGCAATGTGCATACGATTCTGCCACATCGTCCACCCGAAATATGGACTCATACTATCCCAGGCAGGCCGGAGTTCGCCCCTCCCCCCCTTCCTCGGCAACAATTTATGCGCGAGCGCTCTCGTTGATTTAAAACCAGCTGACTTCTCAACTCCCTTGCCGAATAATGGAACACAGTGCAAGCGCGCGCGCGTCGTCGCGCGCGCATGCCGAGATCCCCTTCACCAAAGTAAAGGTTTCGCAACACAGGTTGTCAAACCAAAGAAAGAACCTGCGCCCGCGCTCTCGCGAATTCTTGAGACAGCCAATGATTCTTCAACGCGTTCAGGAAATACCCCCCGGACGGGCCTCCCGTGCGCGCGTGTCGAAATCGGTCGAACACCCTTGCTGGCGTGCTGCCGCCAGAATCCAACGCGAAAGTAAAGACGAATTGCGCGCGCGTCGTCGCGCGCGCATGCCGACATCCTTCAAAAACCGTAGGTTTCGCAGAGACTTCAAAAACGAGCGCCCCGAAAGAAACACATCAAACCAATTGGCTCTACAACGTCAGCTTTCCAAGAATCCTGACTGCGCTCGGGGTCTTACGGGTTCTTAAGAAAACCATTGGTTTCCAAACTGGTTCATTACATTCTGTCAAGCGGGCCTCTCGCGCCGCATGTCGAACTCATTCGAACGCGCGCGCGCGCTCGGGGGGGGGGGGTGGGGGGGCGCGCGACCCGCGTACAATAATGCCGCGTGGGCCACTCGCGCGCGTCGGCCGCGCGCGCGCGTCGACCTCCTTCCAAAACCTTTATCGCCAACGCGTCATCGTTACTGGCGGGCGCGAT